CCCAGTGTTTCCCAAACTTGGGACGCCACTTGTGTAGGGAAAGCCCCTGGCGGGCCGGGCCGGTTTGTTTACCTGCCCCGTCCGCAGGTCCGGCCGATCGCGGCTCCCACTGGCCGCGGTTCGCTGCTCCCGGCCAATGGGAGCTGCTGGAAGTGGCGCGGGCCGAGAGATGTACTGGCCGCCGCTTCCAGCAGCTCCCATTGGCCGGGAGCAGCGAATCGCGGCCAGTGGGAGCCGCGATCGGCCGGACCTGCGGACGGGGCAGGTAAACAAACCGGCCCGGCCCGCCAGGGGCTTTTCCTACACAAGCGGCGTCCCAAGTTTGGGAAACACTGATCTATCCCTTTCTTAATGATTCCCAACATTCTGTTCGCTTTTTTGACTGCTTCTGCACATTGAGCAGATGTTTTCAGAGAACTATCCAGGTTGACTCTAAGATCTCTTTCTTGAGTGGTAACAGCTAATTTAGACTCCATCACTTTGTATGTATAGTTGGGATGATGTTTTCCAGTGTGCATTACTTTGCACTTATCAACATGATTTCATCTGCCATTTTGTTGCCCACTCTCCTACTTTTGTGATATCCCTTTGAAACTCTTTGCAGTCAGCTTTGGACTTAACTATCTTGAGTAATTTTGTACTGTCTGCAAATTTTGCCACCTCACTGTTCACCCCCTTTTCCAGATCATTTATAAATACGTTGAACAGCACAAACCTCAGTACAGATCCTTGAGGGACCTCGCTATTTACCTCTCTCCATTGTGAAAACTGACCATTTATTCCTACTATTTGTTTCCTATCTTTTAATCAGTTACTGATCCATGCGTGGATCTTCCTTCTTATCCCATGACTGCTCACTTTGCTTAACAGCCTTTGGTGAGGGACCTTGTCAAAGGCTTTCCGAAAGACCAAGTACATTATATCCACTGGATCACCCTTGTCCACATGCTTGTTGACTCCCTCAAAGAATTCCTGGAGATTGGTGAGGCATGATTTCCCTTTACAAAAGCCATATTGACTTTCCCAATTTAACGTTTCCTCACTTAACGTAGTAGTTATGTTCCTGAAAAATGCAACTTTAAGCAAAATGATGTTAAGCAAATCCAATTTCCCCATAAGAATTAATGTAAATGAGGGGGTTAGGTTCCAGGGAAATTTTTTTCACCAGACAAAAGACTATATATATATATATATATATATATATATATATATATACACACACACAGTATAAGTTTTAAACAAACAATTTAATACTGGTACACAGTGATGATGATTGTGAAGCTTGGTTGAGGTGGAGGAGTCAGAGGGTGGGATATTTCCCTTACTGCTAAATGATGAACTAGCAATTGGCTAAGCCCTCAAAGGTTAACTCTCTCACTTTACAAGGCAGCAGGAATGGAGGGAGATATGCGCATTCCCCTTTAAGTACACTGCCTTGTTAATTAGATCAGCTTGCCGCAGCTGCTGCAAGCTCCCTCCATCCTGAGCCCTGGTGTGTCCCCCCTGCTCTATGGAAGATGGGGTAAGCAGGGTGCAGGAGCAGGGGGGAGGGGGACACCCTGACATTAGCCCCCCTCTTCCTTCCCTCCCCCCCGCACAGCAAGCAGGAGTCTCGGGGAGCAGCTCCAAGGCAGAGGGCAGGAGCAGCACATGGCAGTAGGGGGAGGGACACAGCTGAACTGCAGGCAGCTGCTGCTGCACAGGAAACTTAAGGGGAGCTGATATGGGGGCTGCCGGTCCACCCTGGTTCCAAGCCCCCACCAGCTAGCTGCAAGGGGCTGCTCTTCCTGCAAGCAGTAGATAAAGCAGACGGCTACCAAACCACGTTAGAAGGGAGCATTACAGAACTTTAAATGAGTATGTTCCCTAATTGATCAGCAATGTAACAATGAAACAACATTAACTGGGACAACTTTAAGTGAGGAGTTACTGTACATTGTTTATCTATATGTCTGATAATTCCATTCTTTACTAGTTTCAATCAATTTGCCTGGTACTGAAGTTAGGTTTACTTGTCTGTAATTGCCAGGATTGCCTCTGGAGCCTTTTTTAAAAATAGGAGTTACATTAGCTATCCTCCAGTAATCTAGTACAGAGGCTGATATAAGTGATAAGTTACATACCACAGTTAGTGGTTCTGCAATTTCATATCTGAGTTCCTTCAGAACGCTTGGGTGAATACCATCTGATCCTGGTGACTTATTCATGTTTAATTTTTCAATTTATTCCAAAAACCTCCTCTATTGCTGCCTTACTCTGGGACAGCTCCTCAGATTTGTCACCTAAAAGGAATGATTTGGGTGTGGGGATCTCCCCCACATCCTCTGCAGTGAAGCCTGGTGCAAGAAATTAATTTAGTTTTCTCCACAATGGCCTTGTCTTCCTTGAGTGCTCCTTTAGCACCTTGATTGTCCAGTGGCCCCACTCACTGATTGGCAGGCTTCCAGCTTTTGATGTAGTTAAAAAAAAATTGTTGTTAATTTTTGTGGGGGGGAGGTTTGTAATAAATTAACTAAAGGTTTATTAACTAGGGAAAAAGGGAGTTATTTACAAAGTTAAAACAGGAAACATACACACACAAATAAGTTACAGTCTGAGATTTAAAAAGGTAATATAAACTTCTATAATAAGCAGCTCTCTATGTCCCTTAGGGCTGACCCATGCCAAGCTGCATGAGGATCTCTTGCTTATGTTTAGGGATCTTTGCCCCTCAGAGTCCAGACAGCATAAAGGTAGTAGTTCTTCAAATTCTTTCCTGACCTGCCTTATCATACTTTTACAATTGACTTGCCAGAGTTTATGCTCCTTTTTATTTTTCTCACTAGAATCTGACTTCTAATTTTTAAAGGATGCCTTTTTGCCTCTAACAGCCTCTTTTACTCCGTTGTTTAGCCATAGTGGCATATTTTGGTCTTCTTACTGTTTTTTTTCCCCTTTGGCAATATACACTTAGTTTGAACCTCTATTATGGTGTTTTTAAATAATCTCCATTGCGTATGCAGGCATTTCACTCTTGTAACTGTTCCTTTTAACTTCTGTTTAACGAGCTTCCACATTTTTATGGTGTCCCCTTTTTTAAGTTAAATGCTACTGTGGTGAGTTTCTTTGGCATTTTCCCCCCTACAAAGATGTTAAATTTACTTACATTATGGTTCCTGTTAATGAGTGGTTCAGCTATATTCACCTCTTGGACCAGATACGGTGCTTCACTTAGGACTAAATCAAGAATTGCCTCTCCCCTTGTGGATTCCAGGACAAGCTACTCCAAGATGCAATCATTAACGGTGACAAGAAATTTTACCTCTGCCTACTGTCCTGAGGTGACATGTACCCAGTCAATATGGAGATAGTTGAAATCCCCCATTGTGTTTTTTGCTTTTGCAGCCTCTCTAATTTCCCTGGGCATTTCACTGTCACCACCCTGGTCAGGTGGTCGATAGTATATTCTTACTGCTATACTCTTATTATTCAAGCATTATTCTATCCCTAGAGCTTCTATGGTATAGTTTGATTCATTTAAGATTTTTACTGTATTTTGTTTTCTTTCACACAGAATGCCACAGCACAACCTACTCTGTCATTCCTAAATATATTGTATCCTGGTGTTAGAGTGACCAGATAGCAAGTGTGAAAAATGATGGGGGGGAAGGGGTAATATATAAGAAAGCCCCAAATATCGGGATTGTCCCTATAAAATTGGGACATCTGGTCATCCTACCGGTGTTACCATGTCGCATTGATTATCCTCATTCTACCAAGTTTCCGCAATGCCTGTTATATAAATATCCTCATTTAATGCCAGACACTCTAGTTCACCCATGTTAGTATTTAAACTTCTATCATTTGTATACAAGCACTTGTACATTTTGTCAATATTCAGTTGCTTGCCTTCATGTGTTATATGTAAACTTGCTGTCCCTCTAAGTCCAACATCATCAGCCCCCCTGTGCTTTCTGTTCAGTAGTCATATCCCCCTACAGGCTTTTCTTCTGCTTCTCCAACCCTGAAAAATCTAGGGACAAAACAAGATGTACAGAACACACTGACTTGGTGATTGTCCTACAGAAAGCAAAGGATTTGCATGATTTAAGAGTCAACATTTGTAAAGCCAAATGCACATACTATATTCTACAGTTAATGGGGTACTGTAAAATGTGTTATATGGGATATGTTATACAGGACGTAAGACTAGATGATCACAATGGTCCCTCCTGGCCTTAAATTGAGGTTTGTTTGTTTTTTTAGGTTTTGTTATAACAAGATTTACAAAACCTAAACATCAAGAAACATCAGTGAAGACAAAGTTTTTGGTTTAGATGTAAATGTTCCTCTACAGGGTTTGTCATTGCAGAATTGGTGACCTCAAATGAAACTAAGTTGACTACTTTCACTGCCCCAGTTGAGTAAAATGCCAAAAAACAAGTCAGCATGAATGATGAAAAGTCAATGAGATTGTAAAGCCTGCTTCCCATTCAAAGATGTGAGGTGCCTAATGTCAATACACATAGGGACATTTGCTTTTTGTTTTACAAATGTGATTTTTCACTTGACGGTGTCCCTCTAACAGAAAAAGAGAATGAATGAGGAGAAAGGTGTGATCATTTGTTCTGTACTACAGTGAAACAGGTTTTAAACCACCACACCAGGCAATTGGGGTGCTTAAGGGGATTTAAAAAAAGGAAGAGGGGACTTGTACTCAATATGTTTGGGGACATTTTCTCACGTCTCCTCAACAAGGAAATTGCATAATTAGGGTTTCATTGTGTATGACTGGGGTCCCCCTTTCCTCCAGTTTGCTGTGTAATCTTGCAGGGGTGGAATAAAGCAGACTTTTCAGGGGAATAAGGTAGTGGCAGATGATAGCATCCTTTTTGCTGCTCCTGGGGACTGAATCACCCCCTGATGCCTACATTAGTTATCCCCCCCTCCTCCAGTGTCATGGGTCACACTAGTAGGGATTCATTGTGATCGCCAGGGACATTCTTGCCACTTAGACTTACCTATTGTTGAAACCACAGTCCCCACAAAATAAAAGGCCCCGGTAAAATCCCATCGGGGTCGGATGTCATCGACCCGGATCCCGGCCACACTGGCCTCTTGGTACTCCCGGAGGAAGTCTTGCAGCTCTGCCCGGCTCAGGTTGTGCCTCTGGCTGAAGTTCACGAACCTCTCCTCCCACTTCTCCTTGGCTTCCCTCTCGGTGGGCAGCTCGATGGCCGAGAACACGGCGGCCCCGCACAGCATGTACAGGATGATGAGCGCGGCCAGCAGCAGGAAGCGGGCGTTATCCTCATTCAGGTGACCCAAGCTGGAGCAGCAGCAGCCGCGCCACGCCATTCTCCGCCCCGGGGGACCAGGCCGAGGGGGCTGCTGGAGCCCGGCACTACGTTTGCACCCGACTGCAGCTCCCCCAAACTCCGACAAGCGTAGCGGCGTCCTGGGTTATACTCCCGGCGCCAGGGCTGCCAGGGGCCGTGAGCAGCGCGATCCATGGCCACCCCGCATCTCTGCCGGCGGATCCGGCCGGCCTCTCCAGGGCACTTGGATGACAGAGGCGTGCAGCGCTTCGTGAACCTTTATCGCCACTTTCCCTCCCTTCAGACGGCTCTCGGAGCTGCGGCTCATCCTCGGGCGCTCCGGGCCATTTCTCAAGACGCCCACTTGGGTCTGCTGGCTCAGAAAGTGACTTTCCGTCCTCGGGCAAACCACCTGATCTCGGGGGCGCCCGACACAGCCTGGTCTGCTCTGCTCGTCAAGTTTCGGATCCTTTCCTTCCTCCTCCCCACACGCCTCCACTTAGCCAAGGGACCCCAACAACGCAACTTCAGCTTGCCACGAGGGATGAGAGGGACCGAACTCCATGCGAAGCTGCTGTCTCCGGAGCGCTCAGGTGCAAACGTGTGAACTCATCTCTCCATGCCCCCAAAGCGAGACCTTCTTCCTTTCCTTCACACAAGTCAGAGCCATACTGTCCCTGACCTTTCCCGGCATGTCTGCGCCTTCAGAGCGGCCGCGGGAACTTCCCGAGCTTGCAGCCACGCAGGAGTCCCCCCTCGACTTTAAAATGCAGTGGAGAGATCGGAGCAGCCCCCTCCATGGTCACCAAACCGTCCCCAGAACCTCAATCCTTGCACAGTGCAGATCACAGTGTGAACAGTGGGGAAAGAGCCAAGCAGAGCCTGTGGCCCTCAGGACGGAACTTGTGCAGAAGAAAGTGGAGTGGAACCTAGAATTATCAATTCGGTTCAGATCGAATACTGAAGCTGGAGACCCGGGGTAACTCCCTGCCCAGGGAAAGTCCCCATCGGCTTTCGCTCCCTGTCAACGCCGGGTTTGTAAACTTGGTCAGCTCAAATCAAACCCGACGCCCCACTGGAGCGGTAAAGCTCAGACGGAGCCTGGCACCTGCTGGCTAACACGGCTCGGTAGTAACCGATGCGCTAACGCGGAGCGACGCCTCGCACGGACCACGCGGAGTCAAGGTGGAGCTCACCAGCCCGAGGGGTTAACACCCCGGGACACAGCTGATCCTTGGGCCGTGCCCCGCGGGCACTCCACCTGCTGGGGGCTAATCCTTCCCCCGTGTTAGAGGGTCAGCCCTGCAGTGGGGGGTGCCAGAGCGGGGCTGTGCTGACAGTCCTCCAGCCCCGCTCGCTCTCCGGAGGGTAGTTCGAGTCACTCCGGGACCAGCCGGCTCCTGTGTCAGACGCAGAAGGCAAAGGATGAGGCTCAGGCGGTCCCTCCGTCTCCCTTGCCGGCTGGCGGCCGCTCTTTTCTTCTCGGGGAGTCACAGCCCCTTCCCCCTGCCCGGGAGCCAGGGCAGGCAGCACCCCTTTGCGCTCGGCGCCCTCCCGGGCAGTAGCCGGGTCAGCATCTGGGGGAGCCTGGCTGCGCGCTGCTTCGCTCGGCCTCCGCCTTGGTGCCCTCCCGCTCTTCGCCAAGTGCAGCCGGGTACAGCGACGCCTCCACCAGCCGCCGCCGCCTTCCTCCACAGCGCGCCTGGCAGCCCCCACCCCCGGCGGCATACAGCGCTGCAACAGGCGGAGAGCAGCAACTGCCGATCCCGCGCTCCCCCGCCTCTGTGGGTCGGGCAGCGCCCAGGGGGGCTGGAGCGGGGAGACCCTAGGAAGGAGGCAGCAGCAGCCCCCCGAGGCCGAAGGCAGGGGACGGATGAGCTGTCCCTGGCACTGCCAGGGCGCCTGTCTCCACCGTGTCTGGGCGCCACTTGCGAGCGTCCGCGGGCAGCAGCTCCGCTCCTATAAGGGAGGCGGCGCGCGCTTTTCTCAGCGCACTGTGCTGAGCGCGGCGTTTGCGCGACTCCTTGGGCGGTCTGCGCGGTGCTGGATGCTGCGGGGGAAGGGAGGCGTGAAAACCTCTGTGTTTTGAGCGCGCTCTGCCCGGGGGCGCGTCAGGCCTTGGCTTGGGGAGCAGGGCAGCCAGGGAAAGGGGCGGGTCCTTCCCTAATAACAGGCCTTTTTACACCTGACGTCCAGAAGTGGACGGCAGAAGAAGCCTGTGGCTGCGGAGGCCCGTAGATTAGGTGTTATTGGCTTCTCCTGGAATGCGGGCGGGATGGCCAGCCTATAATGGCTAGGTAGAGGGCAGGCTCAGACTGTGCATGCAACAACTTTTAATGATCCGGGACCTGTGCACATGTCTGGCCAGTGTTACAATTTGATCTGTGATTCTTCTGTTCCCTCCTATTGTTTGTCATGCTCATCTGTTGCTTCTTGTCTTAAATTATGTCCTGATCCTGGAAACACTTAACCACAGGTCCCTAACATTAGTTGCACCAATAGTACCACTGAAGTCCATGGATTGCTCAGATGAGTAAGAATACCTAGCTCTTGAAGTTTGTTCATCAGTAGATCTCAAAATGTAAAGTTATGCATGTGCATAAGTGTTTTCAGTATAAATCTCTTTGTCATTCTTTCAGGACATATTATGTGTTTGTACAGCACCTAGCCCAAGGGAGCCTATGCCTGATTGTATATAATACAAATATACAACTAACAGTGACGTTACTCCATTGTGCCAGAAAAGGGCACCTCTTTCAGGTCTAACTACAGTAGAACCTCAGAATTAGGAAAACTACTGGAATTGAGATTGTAACTCTGAAATGTTCTGAACTCTGAACAAAACATTATGGTCATTCTTTCAAAGGTTTACAACTGAACATTGACTTAATACAGCTTTGAAACTTTATTTTGCAGAAGAAAAATGCTGCTTTCCCTTTTTTTAGTAGTTTACTTTTGACATAGTACTGTACTTGCTTTCTTTCTTTCTTTTTTTGTCTCTGCTGCTGCCTAATTGTGTACTTCCGGTTCCAAATGAGGTAAGTGGTTGACTGGTCAGTTCATAGGTGTTCGTAACTCTGAGGTTCTACTGTACAACTTGTTGCTCTTTTCTCAACAAGTTATTAAATCCTCCACTATCCAGCAATGAAAAATTGAGGGTCTGTGTGCGAGATGCAGTTCTGCAATTGCAACATGGTTTAAAGATGTAACATGTTGAAAAGCCCTCTATCAGAATAACTTTTGGAAAGATAATTGTGAAGGAAAAGATGAAAACAAAGAGCTAAACCAAGCAATATCCAGCAATTATTATAGTGATGAATTATAATTTAAAATGGTGAAAGCATTAGAATTTGGACACATAATAGACATTATTAACTCGGAGAAAGAGAGATGGCTTTTCCTTTTCAGTGCAGGAGGAATAACTGCTATTTTATTAAAATAGCAGCTCAGTGACATATTACTACAATGCTTACGTACTGTATTTTATTATGTATTATTCATATTGAACTAAAAGTGTTATAAGAATGGCCATACTGTGTCAGATCAAAGGTCCATCTAGCCCAGTATCCTGTCTTCCGACAGTGGCCAATGCCAGATGCCTCAGAGAGAATGAACAGGTAATCAAGTGATCCATTCCTTGTCTCCCATTCCCAGCTTCTGGCAAACACAGGCTAGGGACACCATCCCTGCCCATCCTGGCTAATAGCCATGGATGGACCTATCCTCCATGAATTTATCTAGTTCTTTTTTGAACCCTGTTATAGTCTTGGCCTTCACAACATCCTCTGGCAAGGAGTTACACAGGTTGACTGTGTGAAAAAATACTTCCTTTTGTTTGTTTTAAACCTGCTGCCTATTAATTTCATTTGGTGACCACTAGTTCTTATGGTATGAGAAGGGGTAAATTACACTTCCTTATTTACTTTCTCCACACCAGTCATGATTGTATGCACCTCAATCATATTCCCCCTTAGTCGTCTCTTTTCCAAGCTGAAAAGTCTTATTAATCTCTCCTCATACAGAATCTGTTCTATACCCCTAATCATTTTTGTTGCCCTTTTCTGAACCTTTTCCAATTCCAATATATCTTTTTTGAGATAGAGCAACCACATCTGCATGCAGTATTCAAGATGTGGGCGTACCATGGATTTATATAGAGGCAATGTGATATTTTCTGTCTTATTATCTATCCCTTTCTTAATGATTCCCAACATTCTGTTCGCTTTTTTGACTGCCGCTACACACTGAGTGGATGTTTTCAGAGAACTATCCACAATGACTCCAAGATCTCGTTATTGAGTGGTAACAGCTAATTTAGACCCCATCATTTTATATGTATAGTTGGAATTATGTTTTCCAATGTGCATTACTTTGCATTTATCAACATTGAATTTCATCTGCCATTTTGTTGCCCAGTCACCCAGTTTTGAGAGATCCTTTTGTAGCTCTTAGTTACGTCCCAGGCAGATTGCGATCTTGAGTAGTCTGGTATCATCTTCAAATTTTGCCACCTCACTGTTTACCCCTTTTTCCAGATCATTTATGAATATGTTGAATAGGACTGGGCCAGTACAGACCCCTGGGGGACAACAATATTTTTCTCTCTCCATTCTGAAAACTGACCATTTATTCCTACCCTTTGTTTCCTATCTTTTAATGTTACCAATCCATGAGAGGATCTTCCTTCTTATCCCATGACTACTTACTTTGCTTAAGAGCTTTTAGCGAGGGACCTTGTCAAAGGCTTTCTGACAATCTAAGTATACTATATCCACTGGATCCCCTCATTCACATGCTTGTTGACCCCTTCAAAGAATTCTAGTAGATTGGTGAGGCATTATTTCCCTTTACAAAAACCATGTTGACTCTTCCCCCAACAAATTATGTTCATCTATGTGTCTGACAATTTTGTTCTTTATTATTGTTTCAATCAGTTTGCCCGGTACTGAAGTCAGGCTCACCGGCCTGTAATTGCTGGGGTCACCTCTGGAGCCCTTTTTAAAAATTGGCATCACATTAGCTATCCTTCAGTCATTTGGT